TAGTAGTAGTAGTAGTAGTAGTAGTAGTAGTAGTGGTAGGGCAGTGTAGTGGTGGTAGGTTCGCCATCAACGGCGATTAGAGACAATACCAGAAAACACAAAAACAAAAAATGTCGAAGGAGAAACCGACACGAAGATCGAGCTCCCTTCCGCGTGGCTCCAACAAACGAGGCCGAGGTGATCTCTCGATGGATTCCTCACCCGAGGGTTCCGCTAAGACCAACAAGAGGCTGTTCTCAGCGGAGGAGGCCGCAGAGTTTGTCTCAAGTGACTGTGCCGGATCCCTCGAATCCCTGAGAAAAAACTCTCAGCTTGAAAATTCTCCGCTGGGAGAAAATTCTCAATTTGAAAATTCCCGGCTGCAGGAACTTGTGCGGGATGAGGTCGTGAAAGCCCTCCCATCGTGTATTTCCTATCTCCGAGATGCTGTTGTGGCGGAGGTAACGGCAGCATTGCAGCCCCAACTCCAGCGTCTCATAGAGAGGCTGCTGGTCAAGCTCAGTCCTTCACCCAGTGATGCTGCGACTCAGTCCAGTCGTCTGCCAGTTTCCGTCACTGAGCAGCAGCAATCTGTCCTGGATGCGCCAACATTTGCCTCGGTGGTCAGTCCTACACCCAGTGATGCTGCGACTCAGTCCAGTCGTCAGCCAGTTTCTGCCACTGAGCAGCAGCAATCTGTCCAGGATGCACCAACATTTGCCTCAGTGGTCACTCAGAACTCTGCGGACATGACTAAACAGCCCTGCAAATTACTGCTGCAGCAGCCGGCTGCAGAAATCCCAGCAAACCCAAGGCCACCTGAGCCACGGCAGATTGAAGACCTGGTCCAGGCTGCCAGAGCGGCAGCTACATCCCCATCGACAACACCTGTTCCGGAGGAGCCGTGGCAGGATGTATGTGCTCCTCGCAGGAAAGTCGTTCTGTATGTTGGAGGGCTGTCACCAACAGTGACAGAAGAACGACTTCGTGGCTACGTGACACGGAATGCCAACAACCCAGCTGTTATTGTCGTCTACAAGTGTCAAATACAAAGTGCGAAACCTGAGAAGTCGACCGCATTCGCTCGGCTCACTGTGAGCGCACCCACAGCTGCGGTGCTGCTTTCTAAGGGTTTCTGGCGGGGTCGAGCATACTGTCGTCGCTGGGTGTTCAATGCTCCCGAATCCAAGGCCTCCCAAACTCCTGTCAGCAAGGACAAGGGCAGGACGACGACTGACGATGCGTCCACAGACACTGAACTCAGTTCCCAATGATAGCGGCGGGAAATCGTTCACCACAAGTCATGAGCCAGGCTATGCTTGCCGTATCCTTTCTCAATATATGTAGTCTACAGAGAAAAGTCGGCGAAGTGCAACAGTACCTTGCTGTGCGTGGAATCCATGTCCTCGGCCTGGCTGAAACTTGGCTGAAGCCATGCATTAGCGACGGCGAGATTTCGATTCCGAATTACAAGCTGTTCCGAAAGGACCGTTATTGTCAACATGGAGGAGGCGTTGCTGTGTACTGTCATGATTCTGTCCATGCCAGAAGGCGCACGGACCTGGAGTGTCCAGAGCTAGAGATGATGTGGATCGAAATTACAAGTAATGGGCGAACCACTGTTCTCGGGTGTACATATCGCCCACCAAACAAACCTGTATCGTACTGGGATGGTTTTGAGAATAACATTGAGCAAGCTTGTCAAGGACGGCAACATTCCACAGTACTCGTTGGTGACTTTAACGTGGATTTCAGCATGCCTGGTAATGCTGCCCACCCTCTTCAGCATATTCTGACGAGATTTGATCTGAAGAATTACGTATCCTCTGCAACACGAGTGACAGCACATTCCCAGACCATTCTCGACCTTTTCCTCTCAACAACAGCTATAAGTGGAACATGTGAAATAATTTACCTCGATATAAGTGATCACTATGCCATACTCGCTCATCTACCGATTCCGTCTAAACCTGCTCGCAAGGGAACATCAACTGTCACGGGTCGTCGTCTCCATCAGATTGACTGGGGCTGCTTTCAAACTGACTTACATGGCATACTGTCTGTCGGTTTTGATGATCAAGATGTTGACTCCATGACAACTTCCTTTAACAATGCTATTCTCTCCACCCTTGACCAACATGCACCCATCACCACCCGCCGCCGTGCAGACCGGCGTCCATGTCCCTGGCTGACTCGCGAGCTGGTTGAGTGTGTCCGGAACCGAAACAGACTGCACCGCCGTCTAATGCAAGATAGAGCAAACGAGGCACTCCAGCAGGAGCACCGAGCTGCACGTGCCAAGGCCAGAAAGCTAGATAGACAGTTGAAGAATGCTTACTTTATGGATCAATGCTATACGTCTGATCAGAGGAAACTTTGGTCCGTGATGAACACTGTCACCGGACGAAAGAAGACCCGCCGAGTACCCCAGGTATCAGCTGACCAGCTGGGCGACTTCTTTGCAGATGTTGTTCATGACCCCAGTCGACCTACGCACCTACAGATGCCAGTTGGCCCTACGAAATCTGATGCCCTTACAGCCTTCCAACCTGTGTCGTTGTATGATGTCGCTAAGCGTTTGCAATGTGTGGATCCACATAAAGCTACAGGAAGTGATGGAATTCCAGGTATTGTGTTGAAACGTTGCTCGGACACCCTCTCCCCATACCTGATGAAGATCGTCAACTTATCTCTTGCGTCTGGTATAGTGCCATCAACTTTCAAACATTCTCTTATCAGCCCATTGTATAAAAATGGCGACCCACTGTCAGCTCGTAACTATCGGCCCGTCTCGCTACTGCCTATTGTTTCTCGCATACTGGAACACTTTGTCAAGAAACAGCTGACAACTTTTCTAGATGATCACTCCTTGTTACCTTCAAGTCAATTTGCATACCGAAGAAATCACTCAACAGAAGATGCTCTTATCCTTGCCTCCAACCGCTGGAAATTGGCCAAATCGGAACGAAAACACACCGGGGTAGTAATGGTAGATCTATCGAAGGCATTTGATAGAGTCCAGCATGCCAGGCTTGTGCAAGTGCTGTTTGACCTTGGCATTTGTGACACACCACTGGAATGGTTCCTCAGTTATCTCTCGGAGCGGCAGCAGTGTGTACGGGTGGAACACTCAGTTTCGCAATATGTTGGATGCTCCCGAGGAGTGCCTCAAGGCAGCGTTCTGGGCCCTCTTCTTTTTGTACTGTACACCAGTGATATGTCGTCAGTTCTACCAGGTAGTGTATGCCACCAGGAATTCGCTGATGATGTGGCTCTGGACTACTCCGACTATCAGCCTGATTTAGTGTGCTCTGTTCTCTCTAACGCTGTAACACGACTCGCTGAGTACTTGGACAACATTGGTCTGCTATTAAATGCCAGTAAAACCCAAGTTATGTTTGTGAGACCCCGTGGGTGTCTGGATGGACCATCTGAAGTGAAGTGTGGTACCACAGTGCTTGATGTTACTCCAGTCACGAAGTATCTCGGTGTCATGCTTGATGACCAACTGTCCTGGAAGCCCCAAGTGGACTTTATTGCCAGCAAGACTGCTACTACAATCGGGCAGCTCTGGCGCCATGGACGGTGCCTTTCACTCAATGCCCGCCGGGCCTGGTACATGAGTATGATCCAGTCTGTTCTCTGCTATGCCTCAAACTGTTTCTTTCCTGCTCTATCCAAACTGCTGCTACATCGACTGCTACGCATTGCTAAGTCTGGCATACGAGCCATCTTCCAACTCCCCAGAAGGACCCCCACTGCTCCCCTATTTGCCAGACTATCAATGCCTCAGCTCCACCAGCTGTACGTGCAACGTCTGCTTCTCTTCGTCTTCCGCTGCCTTCATGGCAGAGCCAGCTCACTGTTCCAATCCTACTACTCCCTCATTGCCACGGATGTGGACAGAAGTTGTGTCACGCGCGGTCAGGTCAGCCAGCTGCTCAGAGTGCCGTTCCTACCTGGTCCCTCAGGCCGTAGCTCTATCGCCTTTGTTGGCAGTACCACATGGAACTCTCTCCCTGCTGATATTCGCGCTTGCGACGTACGCCACACGTTTCAAGCATTGCTGTCTGGCTATGACCTCATCTCCCTCGTCAACTAGCTCTCCGATGTTGTGCCTACTATGTCTCCTTCACAGATTCTGCCTGAACAGATGCTCATCAATTATGTTCTTGTCCTCTATCCTAGTCCAAATCCTGCCTTGCCCATGCATGACTCTCATGAAATGCCCGTACTAAATAGTCTATAGAACAAGAATATTGTATATCATACTTCTCTCATCAACTATGATAATACCCATTTCATACCGCCCCCCCCCCCCCTTCATAAAATTAATACCTACTGTTTTCTTTCCTTTCATTTCATCTTCTTTTCCGTTCCTTTCTTCTTCATACACATTTTAAACATTTTCATCATATTGTGAGAGCCGTGGGCCAACAGCCCCGGTGAGAAGGCAGTCTTGCCTGTTCATATGGTGAAGTAAAATAAAGAAACAACAACAACAACAACCATGATGGCAGAGATGCTGCAATACTTGAGTGGCGCGGAAGTGGATGGATTTGATGTGGCTGCCTCCTATTCTCAGTAGCGGTATTGCAGCAGAGGAGGCTAGCCGAGTTCTTGGCAGCCACCAAGAAAAAGCTGGAATCGCCCACAGCGGCAATCTGACAAGTGAGATGCTTTACAGCCACACCTGTGCCGAGGGCATATAAATCCCCTCAGATACCACCTGGGCTGAATTATCCATCAGGCAAGTGTACATGATGATTAACAATGTCTGTTTTGGGCTTAAGGTATTCATTTTGCATTGAATGAGTGGTCAGACCATGCAACGAGCTTCTTACAAGCGGATGAGTATAATGTAGGGGCCTGGTGGGTCATGCAATTTGTGTGCAAGGGATGTATTTACTCATAATTCTCGGTGCTTTGCCGCTAAACCAGTGATGAAACATCACTATGATCCATGGACATGAAAAACAGAAACCATTATAAGGTATATTATGGGTACCTACGAAAGCATGAATAAGGAATAACGAGAATGAATGAGACAAGGGTACCTGCGGAAGCATGAATAATGAATATCAGCATGAATGAGACAAACACCAAAAGTGTGAAATAGTTGGGTACCTACGAAAGCATGAATATGGAATAACGAGCATGAATGAGACAAGGGTACCTACGAAAGCATGAATAAGGAATAACGAGCATGAATGAGACAAGGGTACCTGCGGAAGCATGAATAAGGAGTAACGAGCATGAATGAGACAAACACCAAAACGTGTGAAATAGTTGTGTAGCCGATTACCGGATATCTGGTATCCTATTCTTACTTTGTCCTTGTCAGTGAAGTGTAAGAGAGCCCCAGTGCGGCTCAGAAGTGTGAAGGGTGCGAATGCCTTCGGGCAATGAAGAGAGAGAGAGAGAGAGAGAGAGAGAGAGAGAGCTAATGCCACAGTGGCACAATTTCGTGGGTGTGAATGTCTTCAGGCAATGAGAGAGAGAGAGAGAGAGAGAGCTGATGCCGCAGTGGCACAGTTTGGTGGGTGTGAATGCCTTCGGGCTATGAGTGAGAGAGAGAGAGAGCTAATGCCGCGGTGGCACAGAGATATTGCCGAAGTGGCACAGTTTTGGTGGGTGTGAATGCTTTCGGGCAATGAGAGAGAGAGAACTAATGCCGCGGTGGCACCGAGATATTGCCAAAGTGGCACAGTTTGGTGGGTGTGAATGCCTTCGGGCAATGAGAGAGAGAGAGAGAAAGAGAGAGAGAGTTAATGCCACAGTGGCACAGTTTGGTCTTTTGAATGCCTTCGGGTAATGAGAGAGAGAGACAGAGAGCTAATGCTGCAGTGGCACAGTTTGGTCTGTGTGAATGCCTTCGGGTAATGAGAGAGAGAGAGGGAGAGAGAGAGAGAGAGAAAGATTGGAAGAGAGCTGATGCCGCAGTTCCATGGGTGTGAATGCCTTCGGGAAACGAGTGAGAGAAATATTGCCAAAGTGGCACAGTTTGATGGGTGTGAGTACTGTCGGGGAATTAGTGAGAAATGCAGTACAGTACCTCTTTGGCCTGCAGTTGTGTGTTGTGTTTGTGCTTCGCTTCTGTGACTTGTATGTTTCACAGGTGGAGGCGTTGGGCACGGAAGTGACATATCTCGTCTTAACCTTGCTCTCAGTTGTGTGGCTATCGCAGTGGCCTGAAGAGCACGAAGAATGCCTGGGTTCAGGGGGGCCATTTGGTACCTACCGAGTCGATGCCCTGACCGTACAGTATGGACTGTGGCCTACATACAGACGTTTTGGCATGATCACATACATCAGCAGCTGGGCCAGCCATTGTATGGCGAGACACATGCTTGGCATTTACCATGGCCTTTACATCTCTATGACGTATACCAGGGCCGAGAGCTGTTTTCTATAGAGGCTGCGCGAGTAGGATGTTAACGAGAGTGTTGTTCAGGAACATGGATAGTGCAGTCTGCCTTGCTGGACGAATCCAAACCTCGTATTGGCAAATATTGGGAATCTATGCAAGCGCTATGCAGCCGAATCGGATGACACAATTTGACAGGTAACACAGAGTGTATGGCAAGGCATGTACCCAGGGCTATCCTTTTCTGTCGCCATTGCCGAGCCACCGTGCTCACAGCAGAGACTTCTGTGTGTGTTATTGTTGTGAAGTGGACCACAAAGACGGTACGCTTTCCAACGGCCAAAGAGAGTTGGAAAGCTTGTGTCTTTGTGGGTAACTTGAACATTTGGGCTCATGCAAAATCGCACCGATTTTGGGATTTCCCCACAACTTTTTGAGTCAGCAAAAATGTTGTGCTGGACCGCATTCCTGTCACTTCGCAGTGGCTTTTCGTTGGTGCAGTTTGTATCCCACCCTCCCACCCCTGACTTCTGGGTGTGTGTTTATCGATATATCGTATTGGTTTTTCTTATTGGCCATGTGGCTGTTGCAGTTACGACTGCTTTTCTTTTTTAGTTAAAAAACGTAGGGGTGGTGTGTGCGTCGTGGGCCATTGTATGGTTACATACAGCTTCAGATTGTATGGCTAGTGACAGGGGGGTTGAGTCTGCAGGGGAAGAATACAGTGATTGAACTGAAGCTGGATGATGACCGTGTGGTGAGTGTGTGGGGGTTTCGAGATGCCGTCCTGGGGCAGGGATGTCGGTCCTTTAGCTTGGACGGGTGTTTGAATTCTTTATTCTCACGATGGCACCATCGCCAAAGTTACATTCATTGTAACATTTTGTCGTTTTCTGTGTGTTTTGCTGTGCGACTACAGTAGCAGCAGTGTCTTGTGCTAATTTTTCTTATCAGGCCCTATGCGTACAATTATTCAAGGAAGAAAAAAATCAGGAAGGAGATATAATAATATCAATAATAAAGCCATTGCCGAGCCACCGTGCTCACAGCAGAGACTTCTGTGTGTGTTATTGTTGTGAAGTGGACCACAAAGACATACAGACGCGCACACACAACACACACAAACACACACAAACACACACACACACACACACACACGAAAACCTGCAATGACCAAGAACAATCAGGAATTTCCAAAACTCTTACAGGTGTGTGGCATCCCTGGGAACACTGGTGGGTGAAGATGTCTTTACAAATCCTTTCCCAGTGCAGTCAAACTGTGCTTCAAACTGTTTGCAAAGTGTAACTCTTGGTGTGAGAACCGGAACATTTTCGTCTGTGAGTAAGCACACAGGAACGCACAAACACGTGCACAAACAGACATGAAAGACCTGGACACACACGTATAGAGATAAGGGGTGAGAGGGCAGTGAGAGAGAGGTCTCGGGTGTCGTAGGTGTTGAGCCCCGATCCTGGATGTCGTGGGTAATTAGCCCCCCCCCCCATCCCGGATGAAATAAGTAAGTTATCGCTAACACCGGTAAACACTAGCGGCAGATGCAGCGCCTAACGGTGGCCCGGGTGCTGTGCGTAATTAGCCCAGTATCGGGGGTGTCGTGGGTAATTAGCCCCAGTCCCGGGGGTAATTAGCCCCCTCCTGGGTGTTGTGGGTAATTAGTCCCCGTCCCGGGTGTTGTGGGTAATTAGTCCCCGTCCCGGGTGCCGTGGGTGATGTACATGTACCTGACACTGGTGAGCTGAAGTTGCTGTTGCAGGATTGTGCCTCATGAATATTTGAATAATTTCTGCATTTGAGAAAATACCCACTCACCACCCTCGTGTGGAATTGGGGAACTAACCGTTGCCAAATTAAAACTTCACTATCTCCAGTATGTAATGAATAGTGAAAATTCGTTACATAACCACCTTGATAGTACAGCTCCCCCACACTGTGCTGTGCAGACAGGATTTCTAGTTACGCATCGGAGCTTCAAGCTCCGATATAACAGTGTATTGCCTGTGACGTCATAAAAAATATCCAACCGGAACTTTACAGCATGGAAAAACATAATCACGCAACCACATCACTACAGTTGCCATTTTGATTTCCGCTCGACACAAAGTGATTTAGAAAATCTGAGCAGCTCTTCTTCTCGCGATTAGAGATGGATGAAAACTCAATCCGGCAAGCTGTTTCATCAGCCCGTTATGGATCTCCTTGCTCCGATCAATGATCGTCAACGTGCTTTGGAAGCGACAGCGGAATGTAGAAGGGATCTGGCCAGGGGCCAGTCCTCGCAGTCCAATGGATCGGAGCCAAAACTTTCCAGGTTGAGTGCAGGCACTCAACCCCGGGAAATCGCCAGTTCCTTGGGCATGCCCAAATTTGGTTTGTCGGGTGGAAGTTTGTTGCTTCCACCTAGCTCCTCGAGTGGGCAGGCCTGCACGAGTGAAGCTGATTTGAACGACACCACGAGTGGGCAGGTACCCTCGTGTGTGGGCGTGAGCACGGACGACCCGGAGCAGGCTTCGGTGTCCTCAGATATAAAACAGTTCATTCAGACTCGCTTTAGGAAGCCCTTCAAGGACAAGGAGTGCAGTGACCTAGTAGAGCAGTTTTCCCGACCAGAAGTGGACGGCTTTAGGAAGCCCTTCAAGGACAAGGAGAGCAGTGACCTAGTAGAGCAGTTTTCCCGACCAGAAGTGGACGGCTTTAGGAAGCCCTTCAAGGGCAAGGAGTGCAGTGACCTAGTAGAGCAGTTTTCCCGACCAGAGGTGGACGGCTTTAGGAAGCCCTTCAAGGGCAAGGGGCGGAGGGATCTAGTAGAGCAGTTTTCCCGACCAGAAGTGGACGTGGCGATCACACCTACAGCTGTAATCACAACTGGCGCGTGTAAACGTCGCGTGAAACCACGCGTTTGTGCGTATTTTTGCTCAATTTTCCTATCGAAGTCACCACGCAACGGAAGATGCGGTTACTTTAAACACAGATCGCTACTTAGCAGCTGCACATCAGAGACTCCACACCGGAGTGATGATTTTTGACCTCCGCAAAGCGTTTGATAAAGTGCGACACCAAACTCCAATTCGCGACCTATAAATGGCTTGTCTTCTATGGCGCTTGTTTTGTATCTAAGCTACTTATCGGGACGTAGGCAACGAGTCGTCACAGCCTTTGGCGAAACATCCAGCACCACCGACTTTGTGTGTGTGTGTGTGTGTGTTTGTGTGTGTGTGTGTGTGTGTGTGTGTGTGTGTGTGTGTGTGTGTGTGTGTGTGTGTGTGTGTGTGTGTGTGTGTGTATGCAATAATACAGGTTCAAATAATTATTGTTTCCTTTTTTGCGTATCTCTTGTCATCTCTCTTTTCTATACGTCGCACACCAGATGTGTACGACTATCGCTGTCTTTCTCCTGCTATCTCTCTCTGCTTGCTGTTTTTGTTTTTGTTGCCACTGCCCCTCATCATACCCATGCTTGGGTGGAGGGCGGCGTGACCCGTTAGGGTAGCTGTCAATACAGTACAGTGCGGTGAGCGTGCGTTCGTGTGTGGTGTGGTGTGTGTGTGTGTGTGTGTGTGTGTGTGCGTGCGTGCGTGCGTGCGTGCGTGTGTGGTGTGTGTGTGTGTGTGTGTGTGTGTGGTGTGTGTGTGTGTGTGTGTGTGTGTGTGTGTGTGTATGTGTGTGTGTGTGTGTGTGTGTGTGTGCGCTGACAGGCGTCGCTTTGTCGAGGCTCGTGGCAAGTGCAGAGCTGCCGTGCGTAATGCAAAGAGTGAGTGGATTGGACGTAAAGCTAATGTGGTTGAGTCAAGTCGGTTTAGTGGCAAGCACGCATGGTCTGCAATCCGTGATATACAGAAGTGCTATTCGGGATTATCACCTATCTCCATCCCATCCATCCGTGACAGTGACGGAGTTATCTGTAGCTCCCAGGAGGGGCAAGAGAAATGCTGGCTGCAGCATTTTGCCCGTCTATTGAACGTTCGCAGCACCTTCGATGCTACCATCTTTGACCACATTGAGCAGCGTGAAGTTGATGAGTCACTCGGCCAACTTCCCTCGCTAGAGGTCCTCGCTATGGCTATACGCCAGCTGGCTAATTGCAAGGCTCCTGGCTCATCTGGAATTGCACCTGAACTGCTTAAAGCTGGTGGTACACCATTGCTTGAGGCTCTGCTTGATGTTATTCACACTGCATGGACCAACGGAACGGTTCCCCAGGATTGGCGGGATGCCCAACTCGTCCCGATTCCCAAAAAGGGTGACTTGACCAACTGCAACAACTGGCGCGGCATTGCCCTCCTAGATGTCGCTGGCAAGGTTTGTGGCCGTCTCATTCAGGACCGTCTCCAACTTGTCGCGGAACAATAACTTCCAGAATCCCAGTGTGGCTTTCGCCCTGGTCGCGGCTGCGCTGATGCCATCTTTTCCATTCGCCAGCTCATCGAGAAATCGTACGAGCACCGTCAGAAGCTGTTCTGTGTCTTCGTAGACCTGAAGAAAGCATATGATTCCGTACCACGCCAAGCACTCTGGCTAGCATTGGGGAGGCTAGGCATTCCTGAAGGGCTCCTCAATCTAATCCAATCGTTCCATGAGAGCATGCAGGCAGCTGTGCGCGTCGGTGCCAGCACTACCGAGTCGTTTGCGGTCAACAATGGCCTCCGTCAAGGCTGTGATGGCCCCAGTACTTTTTAGTCTGTACTTCGGTGTTGTGCTTGAGCGGTGGGCACAAGTGATGCAGGACAGCGACCATCCACCTGGCATCCCCATCCAATTTAGCATCAATGGCAACCTTTTCTCTAAGCCCGCTCGCCAGTCTACTGCCGCAATCATCAACGACATTGAGTACGCAGATGACGCGGTCTTGCTCGCTGAAGACCGCCCTGGTGCTGAGAAGTGCCTTGAAACATTCTGCACGGTTGCCTCTTCGTTTGGCCCCTGCGTCAACGCTGCTAAAACGAAATTTCTCGTGGCAGGTAGCCAAGTCAACATGCCTGATAGAGCCGATATGAACGTCAACGGTGATACTGTGGAGCACGTTCCATCCTTCATTTATCTGGGGTCCGTCGTGACACCGGATGCCCGCTCCTCTACTGACGTCAGTCGCCGCATAGCTGAGGCTTCCAAAGCCTTTGGAGCTCTTCTTCCAGTCTTGTCGGATCGCTCGCTGTCATTAGTCAGTAAGCGAAAGCTATACGTGGCCTGTGTCTTGTCCATTTTGCTGTACGGCAGTGAGTGCTGGACGCCCTTGAAAGCTGATAGTAGACGTTTGGATGCCTTCCATCATCGCTGCATCCGCACAATATTAGCCATCCCTCGCAGTCAGCAGCAATCCGATCGCATCACGTCTGCGCAGTTACGTCGTCACTGGGGTGACCCAGTGCCACTCTCTGTTAAGATGCGCCATCGTCGTTTAGAGTGGCTTGGTCATGTGGCTCGGATGTCGGAGGACCGTGTCCCATTGCAGCTGTTGTTTGGTCGTTTTGTTGGCTGCGCGCCCCTTCTGCGGTCCCAGGCGTAGGTGGAGAGACGTTGTGGCTACTGACACGAAGTCCATTCCAAACTGGTTTGATTGCGCACAAGACCGGTCAGCTTGGCGAGAGCAGGTTCTGGTTTTTCAGCCTCCTCGGGCAGTAGAGAAATCCGTACTCTGCTCATCTTGCAACCGGGCTTTCTCTCGTCCTCAAGACAAGGCACGGCACAAGTGTTTGGCTGAGCGCCAACTTCCCGTCCACCAACAGCGTGGTTCAGCACAGTGCGTCAGTTGCTGCCGATGGTTCCGTAGTAAGGGTGGGCTTGCAGTTCATCGCTGCCAGCCTGCACTCCCTGAACATGCAGATACGGCATTGACGGCGTCTCTCGCTAGTTGCTGCTTCCAGCATTGTCAACGCTGCAATCGCTGCTTCAAGTCCCGGGCTGGTTTTAACCGCCATAACTGCAACCGTGGAAAACGTCTTGCTGCAGCCGATAGGGAATCACTGCCGCTGATCTGCATGCATTGCCCGAAACGTTTCCGACAACAGCAAGATTTGACGAGGCACCAGAAGTCCTGCCAATGACGGTGCACTCCAAACTCTGGCCCCCTCCGGGGGTGACATTGCCCAATGGGCAGTCATGCTATAGTAGTAGTAGTAGTAGTGTGTGTGTGTGTGTGCGTGTGTGTGTGTGTGTGTGTGTGTGTGCAAAGTAGATCTACACCAGAGCAGTTCACCAGTATTACAGTATTACAGTATTACTGAGTCAGTGAGTACTGTTTGGATGGCTCCAGTCATCAGGATTATGACTCTACAGACAAATATCTAATACAAGGGGCATGTGGCAAGTACAGTGGAGATTCACGTGCCCAGTTCAATCAACCTGTAGCCATAGCTTGACAGTTTAGTCCTAATCAAGAGTACATGAAAACCAGAGTGTGCAGCTTGGATGGGTTGCTGTCAAGGCGGAATTCCGTCATTACATCATTTTAGTGATGTAATGCGTACAAGCAGGATTCAAGCAGGTCTCTTTCTGCACAACTGCAGCTCAGTTGTACGCACTACGCCGTTTCCCGCCTCAGATCTGCGCCAAATATGATGTAATGACAGAATTCGGCCGTGACAGACACCCATAGCAGAAAAGGCCGCAAGCTGCACACTCTGGTGTTCCTGTACTCTTGGTCTTATTGGGCATTATAGCTGCACTGAATTCTAGAACTACATCTGGAAACTGAAGAAATCCAGCGCCCCGTACAAAGTTGAATGGAGGATAAAAGATCGCGCCCCGAGCATATTCCAACATCACAAAGCGGTGTTCCTTCTGTACCAGAGAAAAGTACCACATCCTGAACACGCTAGGGTCACCATCCAGCCTCAACAAGCGCTCGGAAATGGTGTCCAAGTGCCGACACGAGAACAAGTATCTCCTAAAATACCACGGTGTCACCTAAATGATATGTCTCCACAGCCTCCTGCCCACACCATTCACGTTCACACACACCTTGCTCATAACACCCTGCCCACACCATTCACGTTCACACACCTTGCTCATAACACCCTGCCCACACCATTCACGTTCACACACCTTGCTCATAACACCCTGCCCACACCATTCACGTTCACACACCTTGCTCATAACACCCTGCCCACACCATTCACGTTCACACACCTTGCTCATAACACCCTGCCCACACCATTCACGTTCACACACCTTGCTCATAACACCCTGCGCACACCATTCACATTCACACACCTTGCTCATAACACCCTGCCCACACCATTCACGTTCACACACCTTGCTCATAACACCCTGCCCACACCATTCACGTTCACACACCTTGCTCATAACACCCTGCGCACACCATTCACGTTCACACACCTTGCTCATAACACCCTGCGCACACCATTCACATTCACACACCTTGCTCATAACACCCTGCCCACACCATTCACGTTCACACACCTTGCTCATAACACCCTGCCCACACCATTCACGTTCACACACCTTGCTCATAACACCCTGCCCACACCATTCACGTTCACACACCTTGCTCATAACACCCTGCCCACATCATTCACGTTCACACACCTTGCTCATAACACCCTGCCCACATCATTCACGTTCACACACCTTGCTCATAACACCCTGCCCACACCATTCACGTTCACACACCTTGCTCATAACACCCTGCCCACACCATTCACGTTCACACACCTTGCTCATAACACCCTGCCCACACCATTCACGTTCACACACCTTGCTCATAACACCCTGCCCACACCATTCACTTTCACACACCTTGCTCATAACACCCTGCCCACACCATTCACGTTCACACACCTTGCTCATAACACCCTGCCCACACCAGCCATATACATGTACACAACGCTAATATCACACTCCTAGCTCTAGACTATAGCCTCCTGCCTACAACATCCACACACATTGCTCACCACCTCCTGCCCACACAAGCCACACATTCTGCGCTAACATTGCACTGCTAGCCCCTGCCTTCAACAACCACACACTCTGCACACAGCCTCCTGCCTAAAATAACACTGCTAGCCCCCACATTCTCACAGCTTTTCATACCACCATCCCCTGGCATATATACTGGCATGGTCGGCACCCAATGTTCATGTTGCCTGATGATTGTGAGAGCATGAAACTTCAAGTCACAGCAAACAAGCCTTGATTGTCCTTGTTGTTCTGTTCTGTGCATAATACATGTATTGTGCAGCATTGATTGCATCTCATGTCCATGGTGCTACAGTGAGTATATGTTTGCATGGTTGAACCCGACTTCACTTTCACGTACATCTTGCATTTTACACACGGTTTTCTACATACCATAACTCTCAACACACCATACAGTAAAACCTGTAACTAACGACCACCCCTTGGCGCCCGGAAAAGTGGTCTTTAGTGGCAGGTGGTCTTTAGTTAGAGGTTTGCACCGCGTGACCATATATGGATCCCATTATATGATATGTATGTCAAAATGCAGATAATACAATCCCCCACCACTTGCGTACTGACATTATTCTTTCAGATCATACAACACTTGGAGAGAGAGAAAATCAAGTTTTATTGCAGACATTAAATTCTGCTCCTACTTCTGAAGCCAGGAGTCCAGAGTTCCCTGTTGAAGCTTCTCTTTGCGCTGGGCTTCAAGTTTGTTCACGAAGGCACCAAGTTTCTCTACGTCCATTGCCATGGGAGACAAGCCACGCTGCAACGTAAACTGTTGCAATGTTGAGATGCAGGACAGTGCTTCTTTGCCGGATACTTCTCTGACTTCTGTGGACTCAGTGGACTCTTCAGCATCACACTCATCCCCCACTGGCATCGACCGCATCATCATGATCATCAGGCTCACCCCGTGCTTCTTGGAAGATTCTATTCTCCCAATCATCAGACAGAGTTTCGTTTGTTCCAAGCTCGTTGTCTATTGGTGCATAATCCGACAATGTCTGATCTTCAAGGACACTCTCTGCAGCAGGGAGCTCGTCAAATTCAGGTTCATCCAACTCTGATGAGGGTGCTTCTACTGCAAATCCACAATGGCTGAAGCACTTCTGGATTGTTGTGGGCTGCACCTCACTCCATGATGCTGTAAGCCACATGATGGCATCCAGAACGTTCACTTGTTTGGCCAGTTCTGAAGCAGGTGTTTCTTGATCAATTCTTGCCAACAAGTGTTGCACAATGCGCCTTCTGTACCTCAGCTTCATAGCTTGGATTATCCCTGCATCCATGGGTTGCAGCCTCGATGTTGTGTTAGGGGGGAGGAATACTAACTCAACATGTTCAAGGTCGAGTGTTGGATGAGCCGGACAGTTGTCGATGAACATCAGGATGTTGCGTCCCGCTGCAGCAAGGTGGTCGTTAGTCACGGTGGTCGCTAGTCACGGTGCCGGTCGTTAGTTACAGGTTTTACTGTAATTTTTGCGTGGTCCTACAGATTACGTTATTATGGAGAGTAGAACTATTATCACAACGTGCTTTGCACTTCTCTCACTAGGTACTGCGCTTTGCTTCCTTCTTTTATACTGCTGTTTTTTTCCATTTCCACTTCATTCCTGATGATGGTCATGAAGACCGAAACGTTGAAACGATACCTGTAATGGATTTGGGTGAAATGCAGTGCTCTCTTGAGTGTAGGCAGCTTGCCTGCAAACCATTCAAGTATAATGAAGCTGCGTGAAGCGTCCTTCAAAATTTTAGAACTATAATTATTATAGAGATTTGGAACACCACATGTTCTTCAAGTTAGTCCTGTTTTTCTCTGGTCTCAGCGCACACATGCATGCACACGCACGCACACACATACACACACACACACACACACGGGCGCGCGCGCGCACGCGCACACACACACACACGCACACACACGGGCGCGCGCACGCACGCACACACACATACACACACACACACACGCACAGTACTCACTTGTGTATGCCGAGTTTCACCAACAGTCGTCTACAAAAGAGGGGAATGTAGGAATTTCCGATACCAAGCTTCCAAGTGCAGTTTTCAGCCCGCTCTAACGCCAAGTCCATGCACGGAAAACCGACACGTTCCGCTATGACAACTGAGAAGCAGTTACTCAAACTCAACCCGACATCCTGAACACGACTGGATAAAACACTTGTGACTCAGTCCAGAACGTCGACGCGTCTTCCAGCTAGCTTGCTGCCGGCAATTGGCACGCCGAGCTTGAAGCTCCTCAAAGAAAAAAGACAACCGATTTGTGGTATGCCGGAGCGGAGGGCCAAGCCGAGCCTGGTCGGGCGGAAATGACGTTCCGTCGTAGATCCTCATCCCTTGTACTACACTGTATGTAGATCTACTAGTACGGGTGCAGGCACAAGTCCACCCCATATGCTCATGTCTCATGTCGTGCCATCCAGCAGGTGCTACAATTATGTAGACCTACTCTGCGACCATGTACGGATATTGGGAGATGGGTGATGGACATGCACGTGTAGATCTACCTGTGAGGCTGTGTAGATCTACGGCGGTAGAATCTACGTGTATGACGGATTGTTTACTGGTAGCAGGTAGCAGGTCTACTGCAGCCGGTATGCGATATGACCAGGCGCCTAGGCCCTGTTCCGGCTTTCAGCGTTATCGTTTCTTGCTCAAACCATGCCTCCTCACTCACCTCCAGCTAGCTCCGTCAGCTAGTCATAGTGCTGTCCGCGGATTCCTACCGCGGATCCGCGTCTACGCTCGTCACCAACCAGGAAAGCCGGGTCATAGACATGTGCGTCATGTAGGACTCAGCATGAGCAGTAGTGCGTGTGAGTGAGTGAGCGACATGGAGAAAGCTACACTATCCTGTTACCACGGTTACTTGCAGTCTATCGATTATCGGTCTCTACATTGTAGGAAATCTGTGGGGAAAGGTAATAAGTCGACCTAATCATTCACCATGCCATTGGGAATTCTATGCTGTTGTGTTCTAATCATTCACCATGCCATCGTGAATTCTATTCTGTTGTGTTCTAATCATTCACCATGCCATCATGAATTCTATTCTGTTGTGTTCTAATCATTCACCATGCCATCGTGAATTCTATTCTGTTGTGTTCTAATCATTCACCATGCCATCGTGAATTCTATTCTGTTGTGTTCTAATCATTCACCATGCCATCGTGAATTCTATGCTGTTGTGTTCTAATCATTCACCATGCCATCGTGAATTCTATTCTGTTGTGTTCTAATCATTCACCATGCCACCGTGAATTCTATTCTGTTGTGTTCTAATCATTCACCATGCCACCGTGAATTCTATTCTGTTGTGTTCCAATCATTCACCATTCCACGTGAATTCTATTCTGTTGTGTTCTAATCATTCACCATGCCACCGTGAATTCTATTCTGTTGTGTTCTAATCATTCACCATGCCATCGTGAATTCTATTCTGTTGTGTTCTTATCATACACCATGCCATCGTGAATTCTATTCTGCTGTGTTCTAATCATTCACCATGCCACCGTGAATTCTATTCTGTTGTGTTCTAATCATTCACCATGCCACCGTGAATTCTATTCTGTTGTGTTCCAATCATTCACCATTCCACCGTGAATTCTATTCTGTTGTGTTCTAATCGTTCACCATGCCACCGTGAATTCTATTCTGTTGTGTTCTAATCATTCACCATGCCATCGTGAATTCTATTCTGTTGTGTTCTTATCATACACCATGCCATCGTGAAGTCTATTCTGCTGTGTTCTAATCATTCACCATGCCACCGTGAATTCTATTCTGCTGTGTTCTAATCATTCACCATTCCACCGTGAATTCTATTCTGTTGTGTTCTAATCATTCACCACGCCACCGTGAATTCTATTCTGTTTGCCCGTTAAAGAGGCTTCTTGTGTATCGCCTATCTCTGTATATCTGAGAACAACAACCTGTGACGTCATCATAATAAATAATGTACATAGAGCATGAACGTGTATGTTGACAGTAATAGTGGTCACTGTCAACCCTCACAAGGCATAAGAGAAATGGTCACGTGACTTGCAGGCTCTACGGGACAATATTCACCTGCACCGCGGGTCCTGAGAGCTGCTAGTCACTCGTTTTAAACTTGTTGTTGTTGTTGTAGAAGTTTATTACGTCGCACCACAAACAGGCGATTTCGCCTCCTTTGATACATGTGGACGACAGAAGGAATGAGAGAGAGGGGGGGGGGCAGAAGTATGGAGAGAGGAAGGGTAAACTCTCCATGTTATACATGTACTTACAGTGGGGAATATTGCCAGCCTTCTCTCTATGCTTCTGATGCACTCTCAGCTACTGTTAGACATATTCATGTATTTTAGTGAGAATCAGTATACACCGCTTGAAGTATGGGTAATTCTCAGAAAGTCCCGTGGGAAGTTGTACACTGACATTTCAGTCAAATTCAAACACTCCAATGACTTGAGCTGAAAAGTGCACCTTGACACGTGACACGAACCGGAAATTGAAGGAACGCAGAGACTCTCTACATGTATAACTGGTCTATTGCTGTACTGATAAGCTATAGCCTAGGCGATACACAACCTTCAAAGTCCTATCAACCAAATGTTTGAAGCTACCGCACAGACAGATTTTGTGCCCTCTGTCCAGAGTGAAGCACTTTTCGTCCAGAATGACACCCAGATATCATAATGTGCTGCACCATACACTGCTGTAATGTACGTGTCAGGAATTCTGTCAGAGTGAGTAGTGTGTCGCGTGCAGTGAATAACGTGCGTTGACAAACCCAAAATGATCCAATGCACATTGTCTAAGTAGTAATGTCTTTACCGCCGTCGGTCAACTGTTCTCGACTTATACAGGTAGTAGAGGGGATTTCCCCTATCCGAACACCTGACATGAACTGTATGTCTACTACACTGTGTAGTACTGGCAGTCCTGGGTGAGAAGAGCAAGGACTGAAGGAGTCATACGCGCAGGTTATCTCCTTGCTGCGCTGGCGCCTTGAGTTTACCCTGGTGCGTTGTGGTGCCATGTGCCTGCGTGGCTCAAGGAGCATGTTTGCTCCTGCCCTGCCCGAGTCCCCTGCAGTGCTAGTGGTGGCTGAAGCACGCATCCCGGCAGTGAACCTGCACGCTGCAGTGATCCTACTGAGTGTGTATAATCATTAATTAATCCGGAGGACTCCGCTCTTTGTAATCATTACTACACTGTACATGTATAATCATTCGTTTGAATGGCAAAACATGGCGATACACAGAATCAGCTGAAGCGTCATGTCACGAAGGTTTTATTGAGATGTCACGAACAAGTTCTAGAGAAAGTGCCTTAGTGGTGATGGACAAAGACATAACTATGATGCAAATGTAACGTGACGAACAATAATAGGAACGATTGAAAATATAAAAATGCATGGAACTACTGGAACTAGCCTTCGCACAACGCTCATCAGAAAGCATCGTTGTACTAATCAACAAAATTTAATTACAACACAGACTAGTATTACTGACTTTTGTCACCTCGACGTCTGTTCAAATACATGTATATCATTCGTTTTATGTAATTGTGTTGATGCTTCACAAATGTGTTATTTTGCTCATACAAGAGACTCACGCTTTTCGGCCAAAAAACTCCAGTCTACGGGAGTATGTACCCAGTGTGCTGATGGTGCGGCGATAGGCACTCCTGCCTTTATTCAGGATTACCTCCAGAAGAAGGCAGATGCATGGTGCAAGTAGATCGATGTGCTGACCTCCTTTGCCCTATCTCAACCACAAGCAGCATATGCAGCCTTCATGCGTGGCCTCGCCAGCAGGTGGACGTTCCTCTGCCGAGTTCAGAAGAAGGCTCCGGAAGCCATGGCACCCGTTGAGCATATCATCTACACCAAGCTTCTACCAAACTTGACGGGACAGCCTATTGACTCCGCCCTCAGAAATCTCTTCTCTCTCCCCTGCCGTGAAGGCGGGCTCGGTGTGCTTGACCCGACCACACTGGGGACGCAGTACTGTTCCTCTCGATCTATCATCTCGTCGCTCGTTCAGAACATCGTCGCTCAGTGCCCACAGCTTGGTGATGCGCTGGCCACTGTCAGCCACATGAAGACCAGGGTACGCAATGAAGCCCGCCGCCGTATTCAGGAGGCTGCTGCGTCTTTCATCACCGCAGCTCCTGAAAGCCTGCAGCGTACTGTCCACCTGGCCCGCGAATCTGGAGCATCCAGCTGGCTAACCTGCCGTCCACTGAAGTCTCACGTCATGAGTTCTCCCTATCCAAGAGTGAGTTCAGGGATGGCCTAGCTCTGCGGTATGGATGGCAGCCCAGCCGCCTACCATCAGCGTGTGTGTGTGTGTGTGTGTGTGTGTGTGTGTGTGTGTGTGTGTGTGTGTGTGTGTGTGTGTGTGTGTGTGTGTGTGTGTGTGTGTGGCGAGCCATTCGATGTGACCCACGCTCTTTCCTGCAGCACTGGCGGCTACCCGACAATCCGTCACAACGAGCTTCGTGACGTGACAGCGAATCTGCTCAAGAGAGTTGCCACGAATGTGGCAGTCGAGCCTTGACTCCAGCCGCTAACTGGAGAAAGGCTGCAGAACCGAACCGCTATCACTGACGACCAGGCCCGATTGGATGTGGCGGCTAGTGGTGTGTGGGGTGGAAGATTCGAGCGTGTGTTTCTCGATGTACGGGTTTTCAACCCTTTCGTGCAATCGAATCGGACCTCCTCACTCACCAGCACGTACCAGCGCCATGAGAAGGAAAAACGTCGACACTATGGCCAACGCGTCAGGGATATTGAGCATGCCACCTTCCTGCCATTGGTTTTCTCAGCCAGTGGTGGGATGGGGAAATCCGCCACCACCTTTTACAAGCGTGTCGCGTCTCTAGTCTCAGAGAAGACGAAGGAGCCGTACAGCCAGGTCATGTCGTGGATCCGGTGCCGGCTGTCTTTTGCCCTGCTGAGATCCAGCATTGCTTGTTTGCGGGGCGCACGCCGGATTCGTCCCCTGCCAGCCATGGACACCTCTGTCGTTTATGTACTAACGGGGTTTATGTACTAACCGGACTCGTGTTAACGGGGGACGACCATGTATAATTGTATTCAAATCTGTGGACAGCAACTGTTTCGAGCACCTCAGCACAGCTCAGAGGACCGAAGCGCAGCTCTTCGCAATGAAATACGTTTCCGTGAAGCAAAGCATTTTTATAAAGAGCTGCAAACCCCGCCAAGAGTGCTCGAAATGCTCCAAGAGCAGTGAGCGTTGCACAAGGCGAGCGGCTAGGGTTCGCGCTAA